GGGGGTGAGAAGAGGAGGAGCCAAGAGGGGTGTGTCGGTGCCGGATTAGACCACGTGACTTGTGTAGTTTCCACGTCAGATCTCGTCTCGGTGACTGCGTACGCCCGTAAATCGGAGAGGGTTTTGTTTTATTTTCTGTATTTTTTTGGTTTTGGTAGTTTTTTGTGCGGTCGTTTTTGTGTTTTTTTCCCTTTTGTCTGAGGAGGGGGAGGTAAATCCACATGACGCACGGCTTGATGACCTTGTGACCTCATTGTTGTCCTCACTGGTTTTGTTCAGGTTTGATGCTTACTTTTTTTTTTTGGTGGTGGAGGGGAGATGGGGAGAGGGCTGAGTGAAGAAGAAAAGGAGAAAAAAAAGGGGGGTATGTAAAGATCGGAACAACAGATGGAAAGAAAAGAGGAAAACGCAAATACAGGGGGGGGGGAGCTTTCATGCTTATAATAATTTGGGGAAAAGGAGGGCCGGGATACAAGAAGTGATGTTTGGTTCTTTCAATTTGGGGAAACGGAAAGGGATGGGGGAGGTTTGGTGCTTACAACTGAGAAGGGAGGAAGAGGAAGACTGGAAAAGGAGGGGGAGAAGAAGGGGTGAGGGATGGTAAATGAGAGGAGGAGGGGAGGTTGGGAAAGAGAAGAAAGGAGGCGTTTTAGTAATGTTTTACGGCCTCGGAAACGTATAAGATCATATGACACCAAACTGATGCGTTTGCCTGAGGAGGCGTATATACGTATACATTCTGTTCCTTCACTCGTGGGATTTTTGTTGTTGTTGTTGTTGTTGTTAAGATGGAAGTCTTCTAAACAGAGTGGCTCTAGACGATATAAAACTTGTCTGCGTTCTTGTGTTCTTGTTGTGTTGGTTTGATAAAATACCGTGGATATGTCTGGAACGTTCCATTAGCAATATCCCTTCGTACAATGAGGAAAGCTTACGAGCACGCCTTGCTGTTGCGGGCTTGGAGTAACTATTAATAGGTTACTCCAAGGTTGTGGGTACATTTTCAATGTGTCACGACGTGGTGGAATCAGGCGCTCGGCAGTTATTGGGCATGTGGAGTTATTGGTGTCATCTTAAAGCTTGTTTATTTTTCCTGCTTTAGGTTTAAAGAAATACCCGTCTATCTTAAACAGAAGTCGAGATATGTACGACTGAAAGTGGCGGGGTTCACCTGTTGGCAGAGGTAGAATTAGCGAGATAATAACGCCAAAGTTTGGAGACTTCAAAATCGAATGATCGTCCTCCTTTTAAACTGTAACTGAATTTAATTGAAGTCAACTTTCCCCAGTAAAATCCATAAAGAAATGTAATTTTAAATAGTCATAAAAGAAGAAGAGATTTGAAGAAATTTATTACAATTTCCAAAACAGCCGGAAAATTATCGGTTTCCTGCGATTTCATTGTTTTGACGGGTGTTTGATTTTACTGCGACGACGACACGAACACATTACTTCTGAACTGTGAGGAAAGAGGGTCTTAAAGGTCGCCGTTGAGTGGAAAAGGGAGGGGGGGGGCGAGGGAGAGAGAGAGGAGGAGAGAGGGAGGAGGAGCGGAGGAGCAAGAAGGAGGTAGGAGGAGGGAGGAAGGAGTAGGGGGGAGCAAGGAGGAGGCAGGGAGGAGAGGGAGGGGGAGTTTTTAACATGTGCGCAGAATATAGGCACACTCGGCAACCTGTGATGGGGTGCAGTCACAGACTTGAATTATTGTAGTATACTAGACCGTGCCCTTTGACGCACTTCCGGTTCACTGTAGTGCGCACCATTTGAGCAACTAGAAGGGCAAACAGTAAAACCATGTGTGTGTGTGTGTGTGTGTGTGTGTGTGTGTGTGTGTGTGTGTGTGTAAGGCGGGGGCGGAGGTAGTT